AATGCCAGAAGACGTTGTCTCGAAATCTCAATCTGTGTAGGAAATTTGCGCTTCATATACATTATACGTCTTATCATAGTCTTCAGTTATAGCCCGTCAAGTCCTTGTCAAGTAAACGGCTGTGAATATATGAAAGTCATATATTTGAACTACGGATAAAGACGTGAATATGAAGTACTTTCCAATGATCGTTTAATGAATTTTCTCAGTTGTGTTGGTCTCGGATTTCTATGAAAAAAAAATTGGTTTAAGTCTCACGAATAGCAAGTCTCTGGTTCCATTAAATTAGGGAGCTATGGTTAAAGGTTCTTATTTCACTTCATCGTCAAAACTTATTTAAATCGTAAGGGGCTTTAGTTGAAAGGCAAATAAAGGTGGAATTCTTATTTTCATTGAACTCTTATGGCGCTAGTGTCAAGTCAATGATATGAACCAAACACAAGTCTCTGAATAAATGTTTTTTATATATATATATATTTGCCGCTCCCTTATTCCATGAATTTACTTTCCTTTTTAACATACGTGTTCTGTTGCTGAGTCAGGTTCACGTCTTTTACTTATATTAGTGGAATATTTCGCGACTTGAGAGAGATTTCTTCTTGAGTCAGCCGTCAAGATCCATCCCATCGCAGTTCAAGCTTCTAGCTGCCTCACAAATACTCCGTGCTGTCACTTGAACCTACAGGAACAAACAGAAATAAGGCCGCGCTCTAAGTACAGTTATGTTTCACTTATTGAAAAAGTCAGTTATCCCTTAGTTCCTCAAAGTTCCGTCCATGAAACTAAATAAAAGCCACGATAACGTCTATAGTAAGGTCAGCTTGAGAGAGCGAGAAGTTCATTTATGTTTTAAAGATGCTCTAGGGGTTGGTTTGCCTATTTTACGATATGGTCAACTATGACAGTGAACACAGTCATCCCCTTCCCTCCCCCTCCCCTCCCAAAAAACACCTTCAAATTTTGTGTGTAAAATTGATTTCTTTTCGCCCCCCGTCGTGCCCATCTTCGAAATGTTACAGCTCGGGATGATCATTTCGGTGCCTTTAACATAATGGAGAGGATTTAAAAGTTTCCCACACTTCTAAAGACAAATTTGTATGGTATATTTCATCACATTCGTTCAGACTTTTATCCATTAAAATTTTTTGTTGACGGTGGAGTACTTACTTTTCTTTGGACCGCTCGTTTTCCTTTCCCAGGTGGAAATATCCCTATTCCTTCACAATCCTGAATAAGAGCGGAAAAGAACAACAAAGCGGCGACGAGCACGAAAGCTTGGATCTTCATTTTAAAAATACTGCTGGGGATTGGGGAAGAGAGGTTGTGGTTCTGTAGTCTTTAGTCGCTACTCGGTCCAGAAGGAAATCTTCTAGTGATCTGAAAGGGACACGAGGAGCTTTAAAAGCGCTCCCAGCAAGTATCTCATCTTAACCAAAACAAGGAAAGGCCATTATCCTCTTAAGAACTTGAGAACTTAATTTTTGGCTCTCAAGTAACACAAGAGATGTGTTCCACACGCGTTTTACCATAACAATACAAACATATGCGTAAAAAAGCAAGTACGTGGCTGCCTGTTTTGTGACAGGCTCTAGACTTGTGAAAACCCAACCACATGTGCCCTGAGTGTCGTGATAGATGTTGTCAAATTACATTCGACAAAATATGTCAGCTGAATCTGAATGAAGGTAGTATTCATCAGCTCTATTTCTCAGTTTCTTAATTTTGTTTGGCCACCCTATGATAAAATTGAAATCATAGGAAAACTCTTAGTTTTGAAAGGAATTCTGGACTGACTTGCACCCCATTACCATTGAGAATTTTTCTTTGAATTTCGGAAATCGCGTGATACGTAGATCTAGTCATTTAATCTTTATCTTCTTTAACGGAGCATTAGCATAAATTGGTTGTTTTACTCGGCCGTTAAATTATAGAACAATCGTGATCTTTTCGTACTCAGTTTTAAATTGAAAGCAATAAAAAATACTTCTTTTGGTGATTTTGTTTCATGAAAATTTTTATAGTACAGATTCAATATTGATGAGATTCTTAAATTTTTACTTAACCTCTGGCGTTGGGGTATTTCTAGCATTATTACAGTGTGCTTTGATTCGATCCTATACTTGTCATGGTTACGAGGAAGACTACTGACTTTTTGACTGTAATCATGCGCTGTTTTAAAAAACATACGTGCATTGACCGTGCTGGCAAACTAAATGTTCAGAATGGGTGCTTATTGGCAATGAATACCGCTGCTCATTGAATGTTCTTTTAATTTCCTTTGTAACATCAAGTGTGATGCACATAAAATCTTTTATGAACTAATTAGTTAGGTTTAAAGCGGATGAAGGTCAAGAGTTATTGTCTTTCGACCACGCAAACACAAGTGGCACACAAAAAAACTAGGCGACTGTTACGTGGACCCTAGAACGCCCTCATATAAAACCTTTTTGAAAATTATTTTCATTGTAGCAATACTATACAGAGAAAAGCAACAACTTGCTCTTTTTTTTACAGACATCGGCTGTCAAAGAATCGGTTTTTAAGATGTTGAACCACCTTTCCCTCTAATAACTTCTTCAAAAAATTATGTTTATACCTCAACAGAATACAAATGTCGCTAAGAGTAATGTCATGTTCATATCTGATGTTTTGACAAATGTTTAAACTCTTTATACAAGTATGGTACACTCATCTAATGTATAACTCTTGAATCCACCGTTTCCAAAAGGATTTAAAAGTGTTCAAAGAAGAAACATGTTAATTGAAATTGGACTCATCATTAGCCTTGTTACTTTCTGATAATACAATCAATCGATCAGTCAATCAGTGTGTCTACAAGCTGTAAGCTCGCTCAAACACAAAAGAGAACCACTTCAAGGATCAAATGAAATAACATGTGACACTTCAATACCAGCAATAAGAACCTGGCTTTGCCTGAAGATAAAAATCTAAATGGTTCTCTTAACATTACAAGTAGCAAGATTAGATTCCTCTTTTTTTATCAGCTTAGCAAATGTGATTTCGTTTCTGCTGAGTATTAAGATCTATGAACAAAGTAAGCGAGTGCTTTAGAAATATTCATGGAAAGTTTGCAACTTTTCCCAGATGAAGCACTAAAATGGGAAACAAGTCCATGTGGTATTGCTGCTAACAATTAATGTTAACTGTCGGGGGCGGTTAGTAAGCCAAGAGTGCTGAACAGTTTTCGTGTTCCATTTAAAAAAAAAAAAAACTAAATGACTGAGTGTAAATGGAACCCACGCAAGAATATTCAGAATCATTGTAATTGATCAGGTGATTGTTGAGCTACGTGACTGCCAGTTGGTCGATGGTTATGTCATATCTTCAAAATAATCACCCGAGCCTGGTTATTAGAATCACGAAAAACTAGTCTTAAAAATGATCACCGCGCGAATTCTAATGTTTCTGAAGAATGAAATCCAAGAATTTTGTTGCTCTGACACTGATTACTTGAGTAATCAGCTAACACATTTATTTTCCTCAAGCTTAACAAAATTTGTCAAAAAATTCTCTTTATTTCTTCTTGTGGAAAATTCAACAAGATCCACTCCTCCATATGAATATTTGTGAATTAAGGGCAGCTTTACTCACAAATTTGGCAAATTACTTTCAAATGTTTAAAAACTAAGAAGTTTTCTTTGAGACAAGAAAAATTTGAATGAGATATATCCAAATTAATACTGAGAAAACTCCAAACATCAGACGAAGTGATTCGAGCAAGCCCATATTCCGAACACATTCGCGTCTTTCGTTCTGGGATTGTAGAGCTCATTGGATATGATCAATTCACATCTTCCCAGCCTAAGGAAAACATCCAATATGGTAAACTTTATGGTTAAAAGACCCATCTTTGTTTCCCATGATATATTATTTATTGTTATCTCAAGTGGCTCTTGTGTTCATTTCTGTCTTAAAGATCACTTCTCTCTCTTTTTTAATGGCACGTGTTGGCCAGCCTACGTTGTGCTATAATTCCTCTCCAACAAGAACAAAAGGATCTTCTGGAATACACAAAGCCATAAAGTAAATACTGCAATTGTTTTGGATACATGAGATCGCTATATATGATCGCCACTGTTGATTACACTTGGCCTCCATATGTTACAATTATCTATTGGCGCTTTTACTAGCACAAATTACTGATCACCAAACACTACGATCGCCTGAGTCTTTGATTCAAATCAAGGCGAAATAGCTCCCTCCTTGCTTCAACAAAAGGCTGGTAAAGTATGATAAAATGTGCAAAAACTAACTGAAGTTCGAAGGGTTTCTTACACTGACAAAAATCGATTTTGAGATTTGCACCATGCGTGTTACCTAGATATTTACAAAAAGTCTCCCTAGATAATGGCATGAAAAGCTTGTAAAATTTAATTCCTTTTTTGAATTGTCTTCGTTCTGTAACTTTGATTCCAGCAGTTTTCGATTATATCATGACTTCAATGCAAAGCGTTTTATTCTGACTGAGTCACCAATTGCAAAAACTTATCCACTCCCTGACGTTTTATTTTTCATTTATTTTCAATCTCATTTCATCTTCTTTCACTCGCATCAAATCATTACACGAAACTATTGAAACTGGTAATAATCGAATAATTTTAATGCAATCGGTTTCTATTCTAACACTTACTAATAACTCTGTCGTTTTCTGTTTCCCGATGCTCAGTGAAATTTTTCCCCTCACTGGTGTTTCTGAAAGACAATGATAGTTTCGGGCATGATGCTCATTGTTGTCGCGAAATTTATTTGTTGTAGTGAAAAAATATGATACGTAATAACAATGGGTTTTTCCCCAATTAGCGTTTTTTTTTATTGGACAAGATTACGTGCGCGATAACAAATATCTTCTTACAAGTTTTGATGTAAAGTATTGCTGTGTTTTTCACACCTTGTTTGTATTTTTACTCGCCTTGCAGGCTCGTCAAACTACGATACAACTTGCAAAGATACTTAGCGACACTGCACAAGCATGACGTCTCATAAGATGCATTCTTTCTGATTCCAAATTCACCCTCACCTATTTTCAACTATAACATAATCTGGCTTCAGGAACATTAACCAGGGTGATAATTAGCCGCTCTCTATTGACTGCTTTGCAAATTCTGGGTGTATTAAGGTGTTGAAAAGACTTTGATTATAAAAAAAGATTGTGCGGAAGTCGTTCAAGAACTTGTGGAAAAAACCGAACAAAGACACTTACGTAATAACTTTTGTTGTTGTCACGTAACGTATGCGAGCTAGTGACACTCTTCGCCGAAATATCTTCTGCCGCAAGTAGTAGTTATTGTAAAGTGTTGTATAAGTCAGCAGCAGAGTGTTTCTTGGCACTCGAGTTCCGTAGCGGTTCCGAAGGATTTCGAGATAAGTTTAGCTTTAGATCCGATCCGAAGGGTCTCAGTAATAGTTTAGTGTTTATTTTTTGGTGTTTCGTCCGACCATCAGGAGTAAACGCCAATGTTGTAAGAGCCATGTGCTTAATAGAGAAAACTCCTCATTCCCTCCCTGGAATTCAAGTTGAAGCTCATCCAACTTCTGCTGCTATTGCAGGTCATTACAGGAAACGCAGAGGCACACATTTAAGCTACAGTTTTCTCAGCCTCCCCCTCCCCCACGCACTTCCTGAATGAGTGCCCGGGACTCTCAAATGTACACTGGCTGATAGTCTTATCCATGTAGATTTTGCTGATAGCTGCCTGATAGCTTGCCCTTCGTGCTTTCGGGCCTAATCCGGCCCGATGAGAAGGAGAGAGAGTCCAAATCGGGGCGAGGAGGGGGCCGCAGAATGCTTGGTCACATCCGGATACTTTTTAAGGCCACCGGCGGTAAATTTGAACAGCCCTCCGAGAAAAGACAGCGAAACATGAGGAAAATGGCTATAAATCGCCTACTTGAGCGTATCCTTTTTTTTATTTTAAACACAAACTGCCAAAACTACTTGCCAGCATTTGGATTTTGTAGAAGATGCTTCAATAAACAAGTTCACACTAAAATTTGTTTTCTGCTATTTTTACAACTATTATGGAATATGATTTGAAAAATGTCTATCGGGAGGGAAAATAAGCAGTCAATCAATAAAACCGTATTATAACTCACCCCACTCCCCTGGAATTTGTTCTAGGAACGTCAAACGCACTCTGACTGATAACTCTGTTCTGCTTTGGAAAATAAGACTGCCATTTTTCCCCATCACAATATATATATATATATATATAACCTCTGTTATGTCCAGAAATATGACCGGCAAAAGGTGTTCGTATGGCCGCTTATTTCAGTAGTTTAAGAACTTTCGGGCCAGCCGGGAGTTACATCGCCAGAAATCAAGGAAATTTCGAGCCCGCTAACAATTATCAGCGGTA